ATATATATATATATATATATATATATATATATATATATATATATATATATATATATATAAATTCGCTTATTGTAAGATATTTTTAAGACATTGTGTAACTAGCTACATATATTAACGATTGTTTACATTATTGACATTTGTGAGTTGCTTTAGCAAATATCATTTCACTTTTTATGATTTCTCCAATTTCTTAGTAAGTTAACAATAAAATCATATCTATCTTTGTTTTACCTTTAAATTAGACAAAGACAAACATATGATTTAACTAATCAGTTAGTTTATCAATATGTTGAAAAAATTGGCGCTTAGACTTTGCAAGCATCGTGTATGGGAAATATATCAATATACGGAAAAAAATATACGGAAAATGTACGGAAAGAAATCTTATAGAACTTATTAAACCGGAAATTTGTATAATTTATTAATTTTCAGTTGAGTTATTATATTGCGAAAAAATCTCTTTTCTTTCATACATATAGTTTCCTTTTAAATTATCATTAGATTGTAGATTTGCTCAACCATCTACATTGTTAAATATTGGAGGGTCAAATTTAAATCAATTTCTTGAGTTAAATAATATTTAGTTATTTTTAACTATCATATGTGTCAAAATTTATTATTTTAACACAAAATATATGTTTAAAAAAACAACCACATCTAATCAACCCATTTAAAACAATATTAAGTCATTTTTTACTAAAACAAAGGTTACATTAACGTGCACATAATAAAAAATAAACTAAATTTTAGTCAAATTTAATACATTTCTTAAGTTAAATTATTTAACTCCATTACATTAGTTAAATTAACGACATATTTAGTAGGAGCAGTGGCGACTTATAGGAATGGTTAAAAATAACTCAAATTGAGTATAATTTGACACTACGGATTTAACAGTGTACTCTACTTACACAGAGTTAATATTAGGAATGAATAACAGCAGATAATGATGATATCCGGCATAAATTTTAAAGTTTAAACAATGCTGGATAATACTATTATCTTCTATCTATCATCGATCAATAATCTTAATCCTGACAAACGAATGAGCAAATCCACAGTCATAATTTTTGACCGACTGTTGAAAAAACATAAAAGTTTTAAAATAGTCTTAAACAGAATGTTATTCTTTAACAAGTTTAAGAATAACATCTCAAAGAGAAATCTTAAAAACAATATTTTTAAGACGTTTTAAATCGGGAAATAAGACATCTTAAAAATGTTATAATGACTTCTGTCGGATAAATCTTTAAGATATCTTTTAGACGTATTTAAAACATCATAATATTGTCTGGATTATGAAGCTGAGGTGTTAGATTAGGTTTATGATCAATTAGAAAAAAATATACACAGAAAATCAATAATATGATAGCAATAAAATGTTCTATTGGACATGCTATTTTTACTTCAAATTCATCAAAGCTAAAAATCTTTATTATGGGGCACGTAGAGTGTAAACTGGAGTTAACCCCAGTTAACTTTGACTTTAAAAGGTTAAAAAAAGATTAAAAACAATACTGAAGAAGATGGTACTAAAAAGAAATTTAGGGTGTAGTTCACACCCCTTAAAGGGTTAATAATTTTTACAAATAAAATAAAAAATATAACTCGATATGATATTTCGTAGACATCTAATGTGCATGAAGGAGGAGAGAGAGACTTTCAATAGTTTTCTTTTAATACTCATAAACTTCTTTAAAAAATTTAAAAGAAAAATTACATCTTTTGTATTAATCTAATACATTAATGACTTAAAGCATCGATTTAAGTAGTATAATGAAAGAGAAACTCCGCGAGAGGAAGAGAGAGAGAGAGAGAGAGAGAGAGAGAGAGAGAGAGAGAGAGAG